CGGACTAACCAGCCCAGGTAAATTCAATCTTGTGTCTAATCTGACAACGGTGGCCTTTTCAGCCCAGGGTGGCCTGATAGCCTTAGGGTGGCCTGTGTGTGTCTTTTTTTTTTTTTTTTTGGAAGTTGGAATGGTCTGAAAATGGCGGGGAATTTCCGAATTGTTCTCTGCGTTAAATGAAGTGAAAGCTCTTAATATGTGCAGGTTGTCTGGTTGTGTCCAATGAGGAGGGAGACCTGCCTAACCTCACAGTCTCACTTGTGCTGGTCCTCTGTTTTCGTTCCCATGCGCACAACCCCTTCCCTCCTCCCCCCCCGCCTTTCCCCTTTTGGCCTGATCCAGCTTGACAGGGAGAGCAGCAGGAGCTGTAGACAGAGCAGGACAAACTGTGAGGGAGAGGAAGTGGCCAATGTGGCAGTGGCAATCATTGGAGAAGGAGGTGGGGAGGTAGGTGGGAGCAGGCAGAGAGAAGTGGAAGGAGTCAAGGAGGAGTGTAGTGCCTGTGGCCTGTGAGTCTTGACAGATATTGTTTGTGTATTCAGGTTTCTACAGCCGGGTTGTGTGCCTCTGTGCTTTTCAATTGGTAGAGTAGTCTCTTATTATTTGGAGGGGGACATAGCATAATAGGGCAGGGGGAGAAGATGGCTGCCAGTGCAGCTCTGGTGGTGAAGAATGCACTGGACGATGAGGTGAGTCGCAGCAATGTTGTGCGATTACGCGGTCTTCCGTTCAGTGCAACAGAGGCGGATGTGATTGAATTTTTTAAGGGCTTGGATCTGGGGCCTGATGGTGTTGTCATGTGCCTGAATTACCAGGGCAGGTCGACAGGTCAGGCGTATGTTCAGTTCGCGTCGGAAGATGCTGCAAACAAGGCGCTAGAGCGAAACCGGCAGCATATGGGGAACAGATACATCGAGGTGTTCAAGGGCCACCCATCAGATATGCAGGGGGCTCTGCGCATGGCGGGACGGGGTAGCAATGCCATGAATGGGGGTGGGCTTCTTCCCGGAGGTATTCCGGGAGCCTCAGGGAACCCTGACATGAGGTACACGGGGGTGGTGCGCATGCGGGGCATGCCCTACAGTGCCACGGTGGCGGATATCACCAACTTCTTCAAGGGGATTCAGATTGTCCAGGATGGGGTTTTCCTCTGTGTGCATGCAGATGGAAGACCGACGGGAGAGGCATTCGTCGAATTTGCCAGTGAGGACCTCGCCACTAGGGCGATGCAGCTCCACAGGGAGCCGATGGGTCAGCGGTATGTGGAGCTCTTCCGAAGCACCAAGGGAGAGATGATGACTGCTATCAGTCAGCGCATGTATGGTCTGTTTGGGGCAGCGGGGGGGTTCGCTCCCTTTGGCAGTGCTGCAGTTGGACAGGGCATGCCCGGCCTGATGGGCGGCCTGATGGGCGGCGGTCTCGGCGGGGGAATGCAAGGCTTGGGAATGAACCTTGCGGCCATGCAAAGCTTAGGCACGGTCGGCGCCTCGGGCATGCCTGCCCTTCAAGGTATGGGTGCGGGTGTCATCTCAGATGGCATGGAGAACACGTGCATCAAGATGCGCGGACTTCCATACAATGCCGGCCAGCGGGAAATTCTCGAGTTCTTTGAGGGCTACAGTGTCGCCCCCAACGGAATCCATATAGTTATGGGACCAACGGACCGACCAACGGGGGAGGCGTACATCGAATTCTCAAGCGTGGAGGAGGCTGCGAGGGCTATGGAACGCCACAGGCAGAACATTGGCTCGCGGTACATAGAATTGTTCAGAGTAACCAAAGGAGAGATGATGATGGCAGCAGCAAGCGCAGGGTTTGGACTGGCACACGCAGCAGCGGCAGGGATGGACCCAAGCATGCAGCTCATGCTGATGCAACAGCAAGCGGCCGCCGGGTTCATGGGAGGGGGGTTAAGCGGGTTTATGGGGGCCGGGCAAGGGGCAGCAGGATGGGGGCTGAGTGATATGCACGCGGCGGCGGCGGCAGGTTACTACCCACCAAGGACGGGGGCTACACCATCAACAGCAGCAGGGGCGGCTTTCGCAGACCCGCGAGCAACGGTAAAAATGAGGGGATTGCCATATAGAACAACGATGACGGACATTCTTGATTTTTTCCGCGAGTATAATGTTCTCGTTGATAGTGTAAGGCTTGGGGCATCAATGGATGGGAGATCAAATGGGGAGGCCTATGTTACTTTTGGTAGTCAGGAGGAAGCACAGAGGGCAGTGAGGGAGAAGAACAGGGACAACATCGGGAACAGGTACATTGAACTGTTCATTGCTGGGTGAGTGAAGGGGTTTACTCTAAGATTCTTGCCTCACTGCTTCATCCTAACCATTGATCATCATCATCATCATCATCGTCATCATCATCATCATCATCATCATCGTCGTCGTCCTCATCATCACCATCAGTGTCACATCGCCGCCTTTCTTTCTCACTTTCAACATCGTTCCTCCTCCCCCTACCCCGCTCCCTCAGCTCCATTTTCTTCCATTTTCCCGCTTCGATGCTCTGCTCCACCTGTTCCTCACAATCCTCATCACTATCCCTCATCAGGATTATCTTCAGTGTCAGCATCCTTGTATCTTTCTTGGGACCTTTCCTTGTGGAAGCCCCCTCTCCCCCAGGCAATCACCCGCTCTCCCTTGGCCTACCTCTCACAATCGGCCAATTTTTTCTTTCTGTTTTGCACTTTTCTGTTTTCTGTTTCCCCCCAGGGGTATCGGTCACAGGGGGGTTGAGAAACCTCGCAGTTTTGTTGCGGATAAGATCTTTCTCCGAAGTTTCTTGTCCTGCTCGGGGATAAGACCATCTTGCATGCTTCACAGGCCCCACCCACCCACCAGCTTCTCATGCTCTTTCCTGTGTCTGTCCTCCTTTCACTTTCTCACCCGCCCCGCCCCGCCCCACTGCCATACTGCCAACTAAGGACAGCTCTACACCCGAGAGGCTCTGAAATCTGCTTACTGTGCAGCCCGCGCGTGGGAGGAGGTTGGGGGGGGGGGGGGGGGGGGGGGGGGGGGGGGGGGGGGGGGGGGGGGGGGGGGGGGGGGGGGGGGGGGGGGGGGGGGGGGGGTGGGGGAGAACAGGGGGCACGGGACGGGGGAAGTGGGAAGGGGCATGTTAGTGATGGCATGAATGACAGGGCTATTCACACCTTTGCCTTCTTTCCCTGTGAAAGTGAGATTTGCCTTCTTCCCTGTGAGAGTGAGATGTAGGACATTCGATTTCCCGCCTGAAGGTTGTCTGGTCTTATCTGATCAACTGTGAGAGGTGGAGGGACATGCCGGCAATTTCCACATGCTAGCTTTCATTTTTGTGGCATCGCGACTCGTGTTGCCTTATGCTGGTTTCCATCCAACCATGCGATGCGAAGGAAACAGATACGTACGGCTTTTTTCTTTTTTCTTGTTACTCTTTATGTTCGTTTTTTTTTTTTTTTTTTTGGCCTTTTAGGCTTTTAGTGAAAGCAAAAGAATGCAGCTTTGCAGTAATGTGTTTATCTAACAGCAACAGAGTCGGCTTTCTTCGTCCTATTGCTTGTTTTGCGCCTTTGTGCTTTCCCGGCCGTTTGAGATGTTTACGTTCTTCGACAGCAGGTCGATTTTGACTTTGTAGGCTGGAAAACGATGTTTTTCTTCTTTTCGATACCGACTGGCCTGGCTCAGTCGGTCGGTGCCCCGTACACCCATGAACAGTTGAAATACAGACCAGAGCTCGAATCCAGATGCAATCAGATGACAGAAAAAGATATTTCTGAGTTACGTGGGCCGGTCGCTTCAATGACAATATCTCAAGGCCGACACCCGTTTTCTTTATAAAAAAAAAGAAAAAAAGAACAAAGGAGGGAGTGAGAAAGGAACACTCCTACCCAGATTAAAATTTGGGGCCGGGGCCATGGTAACCCACATTGATCCACTTTGCGGCGGAGATAAAGTCACAAAATGAAAAGAAAAGAAGAGGGAAAACTGAACAAAGATTACATGAAAATGGACATTTTTTAATGATTTTTATGATTTTTTTTTTTTTTTTTGAAACCAACGAAATTGGCCCGATTGAGGCTGAATTCTTTAGCTTTTGAGGGTGCAGCGTTCTTCTTAAAACGCCGTACCGCCTGGACTCCAGCTACGTCCAGATAGATCCAGAGAGTACGGCGTTTTGAAAACGTCATGCGCCCTGGAGTCCAGATACATCAAGATGCATCCAGTAAAAAAAAAAAAAAAAGAAGGCTAATTCTTTTAATCCCAACCAATTCAATTACCTGTCGGATCTGACAGGACAGCCTTTCAGGCCTTTTTTCATTGTCATTATCGTGCGATACGGGGAACCCCGTGGCAGCCAGCCACATCAGTGCTCAAGCCTCCAACGAGGGAACATGTGGGATCTGCACCCACCAGCAGGTGCGATAACTGCAACAGCAGGTGGGCGATACTGGCCAGGGGTTAGCCGGTAGCATCAGGACCGAGCTTCTTCGGCGGGCCAGTAACTGTGCCTCCCCTGCGGTCCCCTGCCCCTATGAGCATCAGCAGTCTCTGCTCAATGCCACTCGACCAACGGCGTATCTCTAGGTGGCGGGCGCCAAGCTTGCCCGGGAAGGTACATGAGGCCAATGGGGATTGAACCCAAGACCTCCTGAATGCCACTTGCTTGCCTTACCAACTGAGCTAAGCCGCTGGATGGGGTAGTGCGTTTTAAGAACGCTGTGACGTCAAAAGCTAAGTATGAACTAGGCCACTGGATGGGGTAGTGCCTTTTTAGGACGCTGTGCCCTCAAAAGCTAAAAATTCCGACCTCCATCGGGCCAATTTTTTATTTTCCTTCTCTCAAGTTAAATGTACAGCTGCGACCTTTCTTTTTTTTTGGGGGGGGGGGGGCACGGCTCGCGACTTGTGGTTGGATTCGATTTCATTCAAACAAATTAAAAAAATGTCCATTTTGACAAAATTGCTGTTATGGGGTTTGAGGCAGAGGTGTCACCTCGGAGGACGAGGGCAGTCTGTGAAAATTGTTTTCTTCATGAGACCCAACAGTACTGGATGGCATCTACGTTGTGACTGGGAGCGGTTGTTTGTTGCCGGGCCCATAGCGAAGAGAAGGCTGCGCTCATGCGATCGGTCAAAAGCCTCGCTGCGCTCATGCGATCGGTCGAAAGCCTCAGGCATGCTCACACTAGGATGTGCGATTAGAGTGAATCTGGTCACATGTATGGCCGAATGCGTACAAGAAAGTTTACGTGTGTTAACTGTACTGATTGAGGACATTGCGGAGTGTTGACTGTACTGATTAAGGACATTGGGTGTCTTCCATTGGGTACTGATTGAGGACTTTGCCTGCCTTAAGCATTTTCGGCGCATGCGGCCTCTGATGTGTTGACTGTACTGATTGAGGACATTGCGGAGTGAATGCCGGTGCCTTTACAACGGTGTTCACAGAAATCCCAGCTTGGGTGTTTTCCATCCCATGCTATTTGACCACATGCAGCAAAGATTTTGCGTGCGGAGGACAAAAGCGCCGTTGAGCCGATGGCCCACTTCACCCAATTCTCGACTTGCAGCCGTAAATTGACAGCGGGAAACAACGATTCTAAGCAGGTCAGGGGTGGAACTTTCTGGGCACCCGGGCGTAAGCCAAGGGGTTTAAAGCACCAGTAAATGCCGAGCGCGGCCCCCTTTCGTAGGCTGCCCACCACCGATTCCTTTTATCTACGGCGCTCAGCCTCCTAAGTTTTCGCAGAGGCTCAAAATAGGTTATCAAAGTGCCTGGGGCCATGTACTGGTGGTTTAAAGGGGTATTTGACTATTTTAGGATATAACACGTGGTGCTGCTCTGGCTCTTGCTCCGGAGTGCCTTGTGTGTCCATGTTCGACAGCCCAAGTCCTCCAATCCCCTTCCCCCGAATAGAACATGTGGTCACTATAGCTAGCTGTATTTGGGGCAACTTCCCGTCAGGTCCAGAAAAAAAAAGAAAAAAAAAGAAAAAAGAAAAAAGATAATGACAAGTAGTTGTTGTAGTCAAAGGAAGACGGTAGCAAATCCAAAAGCAGCAAGTCATTGAAAGCAGGTGGCCAGTTACATAGACCCTGCCATTGATTAGTGATAAAGCAAATAAAACATGTCTGCCTGTTTATATATATAGTCGGTGAAACTCCGACGAAACAGTTTGTCACAGCCCCTCGTTTGTTGTCCTCTTCTCCCTCTCTGCCTACGGTTTACCGGGCACTTCTATTTGTGACGATATATATATATAACGATATAGTGCGCTCTTTAAGTTTGTAGTGATGTGACAATATATACAGGGTTACCGGCGTTCGGGACGGGCCGAACGCCCGAAACCGAACGTCCGAACGTGCGGGATCCCTTCGGAAGGCGTTCGGCCGTTCGGGCCGAACGCGGACCAAAAAAAAAAAAAAGGGAAAAAAAAAGGAAGTTTTCAAAAAAATCCGAAAAAAAAACTATGTTATGGAGAAAAATAAACTTAACAACGTTTGCCTGGGCACTACATCCAAATTCGTTACCAAATTTGAATTAAAATCAAATACAGAAAATAAACACTATGATAAAAATAAGAAAAAATAAAAAGAGAATTAGAATGAGTGAGTTTGCCAGCACCTTTTCGACACCGCCATCTTCGCCGATTTTTAATTATCTTTTGGCATTGACAAATGCCCTGAAAACAAAATAGTGAGTGGGCGACCACGTTTTGACACCCCCATCTTTGACGATTTTTAATGTTTTTTTTGGCTTAGAAGAATGGCCTCAAAGTTTATAGGCGTGTAGGTTACATCATAGAGAACTCACAAAAAAAACTTCAGAAAAAAAAACTTATTTTTAGGCCCCGAAACATTTTTTGGCGGGGGCCGAACCTGGAGGTGTTTGGCCCCCGAACGGTACCCCGAACGCCCGAACGTTCGGGGGTCAGCCCGGGGGCCCCCAAACGTTCGGGGGTCAGCCCGGGGGCCCCCAAACGTTCGGTCAGGTAACCTTGTATATATACGAAACAGTTTGTCACAGCCCCTCGTTTGTTGTCCTCTTCTCTCTCCCTGCCTACGGTTTACCGGGCAGTTCTGTTTGTGACGATATATATATATGATATATATAGAAAACAGGTCTGGCATTTATTCATGAAACGAAGAAATGCTCAGATGTTTGAAAAAGTGGGTTCCTAACCACCGGGACCAGCGCAGTTGGTACACCCGTGGGGGGGTTAACGAGGGCTGAAAAGTGGGGGTGCCTGTTAACTGCTTGTGGTGAAAGTGTTGAGATGAGGACTTGAGTTCGAATCCAGATGCAAGCTGTTGAATAAATATCTGGAAATGGGGTTTCTCTTTTGGAGGGGGTGGGGTTCAATTCGGGGAGGTGCAGGGTAGTACTTCATGAAGTGTGGGTGTCTCTTGTTTTTTTTTTTTTTTTTTTTTTTTTTTTTTTTTTCCCTTTTGTGTATGTTGCACCAAGTCTGGAGGGCATTTAATTGCCATCAATTAATCTAAAAAATAAATAATTAAACTTAATAAAGGGTAATTTGTCGAAATGCCCCACCGACTTCCATTTATTTGTGATATGCCCCTCCGTCGGCCGACTTACCCTGTCATGCCCCTGGGCCACCTGTAGTTTCCTGCAGGCCCCTGTCAGTGAGGGGTGCAACGTTCCGGCATGCCCCTGTGGCCGTTGGTGGCACTCACGGCCGTTCCTCCGGCGCAGGGAGTGGAGCTACCTGGGCATACTGGAAATTGGGAACAGTATGGGTAGGGGCATATTGAACATAATTCAGGCCCGAACTACGCCAGGGGTTTTTTGGAAACTTCAACAATGTCAGAGGGGCGCTACAGGATAAGTCGACTGTCAGAGGGGCATACCGCAAATAAACGGAAGTCGGAGGGGCATTTCTAAAATTTTCCCATGAATAAATATAGGGGTTTAATTGACAGAGAGAATTCTGGGACCCGAATCCCACAGGCTGAAATTCTTCATTCCTGACCGTCGATCTCTGCGATCTATGGTTAAGAATTGAAGGACATGGCTAAGTGGGACTCGGATCCGAACTGGACAGTGGAGTTTTATGTAAATGGTTGCTTATTTCGACATTCGCATGATGGCCTACTTGAGCCCTAAACAGAGAATGGGGTCGTTATGGGCCTCGCTCCTCTACGGAACACTCTACATGAACCTGGACACTTTCTTGGCCCGATACCGTTGAAATGTTGGACTCATCGGAATGCACCTGGTCAATAGAGCCTCCTACTAATGCATGTAGAGTGTTGTGCAGGGGAATCGGGCCCTATGTCTGCTGGCTGCATCCAGGCCCTAAGCGAGCACGGCTTGCTTGAGGACTTGACACTTGAATCGAGGCTGGTCCGCTGCGTTATCCATTCCCCTCCTTCCGTTTGTTTGAGAAGTGCAAGGAGGGAAGGTTCATCTTCTTTCTTCTTGTTGAGAGACCCGTTTTCCAGCAGCTGATGCTCCCCACAAATAGATGGAGCCTCTCCCCGGGTGCTAGTGGTGCCTGCATTTGCCAGCAGCACTAGCACTGCAGGGGGTGTTATAAAAAAAAAAAAAAAAAAAAAGGAAATCGATTTGCACGTTGTATGATTGTACAGAACTTCATATTGAATTTAGATTTTCATTTAGACAATAGTTTTTACTATAAATAAATTTAACTGATCACCGTGACGAGTATTTATTGCAGCTTTTGAGTGCGGTACCGACACTCTGTATGGATCGTATTCAGTTGAAGAGAGTAATTCATAGGTGTACTGTGTACACTTCTTTCGGTCGCCAATTTTTATGGACGGGAGGATCGACTAGGATGGGACAACTGTGTAAAGCTGACTGGTTCCATGAAGGTGACGGGCCAGGGGAGTTTTGCGCTACTCGGACTCCAGGTGTCAAGTCAAATAATGGTGCCAATGAAATGTGCTTTTCATACAGACTGCCAAGTCTCATTCCCCACACGAGTTGGTGAAAGTCAAGCGAAGCTGTATGTATATGCACCGGGCGCGCATCCCAAATGTTTACTCTGTCTGAAGTTCTCTGAACCATGACCACATTTGGAACCCTCCGCTGAATTTCGGAACGCTTTGCTGAATTACAGAACAATATCCTGGCCCTTAGTTTGCAGATGAGGGGTCACCAGTGGGTCCGCGCGCGTGTGCGTGTGTGTGTGTGTGTGTGTGTGTGTGTGTGGGTGTGTGTGCTGTCTCTTATACACATCTAGATGTGTATAAGAGACAGAACTTATAGTGCACCGCGCGAAGGACCTCCAGGAGAATCGGTGGCACAGTCGTTGTGATGACAAGTTGTTTTCGTTCCTGCAACCCATAACACCCAACCAGTAGTGCATATGGGTAGTGCATCGCACTAAGGACGTCAAGGAGAATCTGTAGTACGGCTGTCTTCATGAGAAGTTGTTTTCATTTCTACAACCCATAACAGAAATTGAAACAACTTCTCATGAAGGGTCCGTCCTTATGCCTGGAGGTCGTGCACTATGGGATCTGTAGTTGTTACCCCGCATACTTCATGGTGCGCGAGCTCCAGGCATAAGCACGGACCCTTAACTTTTTTTCGACTTATGGACTAAGTGGAGGAGGTATTGCATGTTCACGTAGGCTGGCAAGACGACTGACAAAGATCCCATCCAGATGCAGATTTCAAAAACAGAAACAGGCAACACGTAAACCGCCAGTACCTTTCTCATACGTCAGCCGTGTGGTTGAGTAGTGATCCCCTTTAAGCCATATTGGTGTTTTGAGTAGTGATACCCTTTAAGCCACCGGTACATCCGAAAAAGGAGATTGAGCCTCTCCTAAGAAATAGGAGGCCATGAACCGCCAATTCATTTTATCGACGGTCCACGGCCTCCGAAGTTTTAGAAGACGCTCAATCTGCTTTTGTGGATGCACTGGTGGTTTAAATCCTGTTATGCGTGAGTGGCAGACGACTGACATCACAAGCAGCAAGGCAAGGGCTAGGCAAAAAGGCACCGAACGAGAAGCAACAGCAAGGCACAAAGCCAGGAGGACATGGGGAGGTGGGTGGGCACCCAAACAACAACCCAAGCAGCAGGCAAGGAGGCATCAAGGCAGCAAGGCAGCAAGGCAACAAGGCTGCCAAACAGGAAGGCAAGCCGCAGTGCGACATGATAAGCAGAAGTCAGGAGAGCAGCAAGTGACGAATAGATTGGAGCCTTGTTCCCAAAAAAAAAAAAAAAAAAAAAAAAAAAAAAAGGAGGTGGTAAAGCAACAAAGCAGCAAGGCGGAAGTCCGAACGGCAAATGACAAGGCAAGCGGCGAGGTGGCATGGTACTACGAGCAGCAGGCAACGGACAATGAGGCTACAAGGTAGTGAGGCAGCCGACAACAAGTCAAGCAGCAGAGTGACCCGATGACCAGAGGAGCAAACAATGCAGCGAGCCAGGAACGAAGTCAGGGAACAAGGCAGTGAGGCAATATGGTTGTGAGGCAGCGAGGCACAAGGCAGCCAATGACAAGCCAAGCGGCACAGTGGGATGATGGGCAGCAGGAGACGAGGCAGGGGGTGACAGGGCAGTGAGGCACAAGGGAGCATGATGAGCCAGCACAAATTCTGAACAATGAGAAGGAAGGCAATAAAGCGACAGTGCCAAACAACAAGGCAAGTAGCACGCCAGAACATTAAACCACCGGTGTTCCGAAAGGCGCCTTCGTCTGCCTGCCGCGACGTGCTGGGATGAGCGAGCCTCGGGCGCTTGCGGAAGTTCATTTAAGTGGAAACGTTGTGGCACTGTAGCACTGGCTGGCAGCATCAAGCCGCGACTTGGGGAAGTACTGGTGGTTAAGCACAAACCGAGAATTCTGCGCTGCAAGTCCCACCGAGAGCCATTATGTAGGCAGCCAACAACTTCAGGGATATGAAGTCAAGAGACAATGTATGGAATGCCAAAGGTTAAGCCAGACGTAGGCTGTCAGGTAGGCAAGCAGCTCAGAGTGCTGTGTAGTGGCGCCTGCAAAATTTCCCTCTCGCTGACGACGCCTTCTCCAGGCTACCATCACAAATTCATTTTGGTACAACAAGCAGACTAAATGTTCAGGGACGCTGGACCCGCTTTCCAGCAGGTGCTGCTCCCGACCAATAGATGGAGCCTCCCGGGGAAGGCTAGTGGTGTCTGCTCTTACCAGCACCCCTAGCAATTTACCGGGKTKTTTKTTCAAAAAAAAAAAAAAAAAAAAAAAAAAAAAGGACAAGCACCAGGAGAGCATTCTGAGCAGCAAGGCAAGCAGAGAACAGAATGGTGCACAGCAAGGCACAAGGCCAGAAAGAAAAAAGAAGGGGAGCGACAATGTAGAGAAGGGCAAGCAACAGCAAGGCATAGGGGGAGGACACGCGGAAGGCAGGTGGGAGGCCAAGCTACAAGACAAGCAGCAAGGCAGAATGGTGAGCAGGGGGGCAAAAAGGCAGCAAGGACGAAGTTTTATGCAAGCAGCAGGGCAGCATCGGCAAGGGAGCACCGACGAGGCAGTCAACGATCAAGGCACAGACCAAAGCGCACCGATGTAGCTCAGTGGTTAGAGCACCGGTTGGAAATGCGCATTGTGGAATGAGGTTGTGGGTTCAAAACTCCGCAGCCACGCGGATGGACACTGGCATGGTGTTAGAATGACGCATGGCTGGACACACACTCCCCTGGGCTGACTCATGGTACTATTACAGACACTGCCTGCACGCCACCCAGGGGGTCAGTTCATGGGTGTTGTATGCTGTCTAGTCTTCACGTTGGTTGCTGGTTGTTGTAGGCTTTCGTCGCTCTGATAATCTCCCCCAGTCCAGACATTACACACAATTTTTCCACTTCCCACAGTAGTATAAGTGGTAGAACCCTTCAGTTTCATACTGAAGGTCACAGGTTCGAGTCCGGTTCTGGACTTTGGGGGGTCCTGTCCAGATAGACCTGTCTCTACCACATATATATATATATATACACACATGAGATACTACCCCAGATAGCACAATCCATACACACATGTATACAATACTGCAAGGAAGATGAGCAATAGCGAACTTCAGCAATCAAACAGCATCATACATACGAGTCCAAATAGTCGTGACCTCGAACCAACAGCAGAATTGCATCACGAGATTCACCAAATAAGAACACACCAAGAGTTCATAATTGACAATGCTGAAATAGTCCCATCATCATCAACAAAGAACCAGAGTTGATATCCTATCTGGCGCTCGGCGCCCAGACTCCATGTGGCAGATCCTATCTAGCCTATACTACGAAGCCGAAAGATGACGTCAACAACATTCCCGAAGTACGAGCATATGGCGACCAATGTCGCACCCTTCCAGCACCAGGTATGTCTCGTGCTACACTCACAACCTCGTTCCCCAACTCACAGATGCCACTAGCACCCAAGGACCACCCTGCGCCCAACTTACAGCAGCGCAACTCGGCTATGGCTGCGTGCTCCTTCCCTGCTCGCCCGTGAGAGCGTAGGCGCCAGCCAGCAAATAGCGCAACAGCAGCGCTTGAGCAACTCGCTGGTAAACCGGACATCCCTGTCACTAATAATAGACTTCGGTAAACCAAAGTCCCTGACCCAGTTCTCTTTAAACATTCTGATCACGGACTCCGTTCTGGCTGTTTCCGGCATTGCCACTAACCTAGCATACTTGTTGAATCTATCCACGATAATGAAGATGTGACGCATCCCACTCTTGCTGGTGATCAGAGTATCCATGAAATTCATGGACAGACTCTCACCAGGCCGTTCCGGAATCGAAAGGGGCTTCAGAAGCCCAAGAGGAGCCTGAGTACGTGGCTTGTCCCGTTGGGAAACTTGACAAGTCTCCACGTACAACTGGGCACCTCTCATCATCGTGGGCCACCAGAGCCGCTGCAGCAAGTTCGCTGCGGTCTTCTTATACCCAAAATGGCCGGTGGCATCATGACACTCACCTAAAAATAAACTATGCAAAGACTCGCTATTGGGAACACACAATCGTTTATTCCCTCACTTCTCAAGGAACAGCAAGCCATTGACCAACTCAAACTCAGCAGAGGTCTTCTTGTCCTTTGCTTGAAGTCTGCGTATGATCTCAAACATGAACTGGTCCTCGCGATAGGCTTTCACCAAGGACTGAGTAACATGGTCCGTCAGATTAAACTCAGTAATCAACGCACCTGAGAAATCAGGTCTATGCGACAAGGCATCTGCAACCTTGTTGTACTCCCTTTTCAGATACTGAGGGTTGAAGTCATACTGCTCAATGTCTTCAATCCAACGCTTGAGAGTGTCAGAAAGCACAGGCTGGGTTCTCATCCATCTCAGGGTCTGATGATCAGTCCTGAGGATGAAGAATCTCCCAAGGAGATAGTGTCTCCAATGGGTCAGAGCCTTGTAAACCGCATATAGATCCTTCCCATAGGTGGACTTAGCCAACTTCTGAGACAACATTTTCTTGGACATGTACTCTACCGGCCTCAATTTTGGCCCCTCCTGCTGCGCGAGCACGGCGCCAACGCCATATTGGCTGGCATCCGTGGTGACTATAAACGGCTTGTCAGGATCAGGAAGTTTCAAGACCTCGTAGTGCGTCAACGCATGCTTCAGATGTCTGAAAGCAGCCTCGCACTCATATGTCCACTCCCATGGGGTGTCAAGGCGGGTCAGATCAGTCAAAGGAGCGGCTACTTTGCTATAGTTTTTAACGAAAGTCCTATAGTAGCCTGTCATTCCTAAGAAAGATCTCATCTCAGTCATAGACTGAGGACGTGGCCAATCACGAATGCTGGCCACCTTCGCGACATCGGACTTCAACCCTTTCACGGAGATCTCATGCCCCAAGTACAAGACACGGGTGCGGCCAAACTCACACTTCTCACCGTTGATCTTGAACTTGTGCTGTCGCACGAGACTGAGGACTTTGTCCAAGTGTGCAACATGCTCCTCGACAATCCTACTAAAAATAAGTATGTCATCGAGGTACACAATCACAAACTCGTCTAAGTAGTCATGGAATATCCGATTCATAGCGTGCTGAAAGGTGCCCGGAGCATTACAAAGGCCGAAAGGCATCACCACAAACTCGTGTAGACCGTACCTGGTCTGAAAGGCGGTTTTGTGTTGATCCTCGGGCCGGATTGCAATCTGATGGTACCCGGACTTCAGATCTATCTTGCTGAAGTACCGACACCCTTGCACTCTATCTAGCAGATCGTAGATGTGCGGTAGGGGCTCTTTGTTCTTTACAGTGATGGCATTGAGGCCCCTATAGTCAATGCACATCCTCAGTGTACCCTCCTTCTTAGGTACAAATAGTACTGGAGATCCATAAGGAGAGACACTCGGCCGGATCCAACCCTTCTCTACGAGTTCCTTGAGTTGGTGGCGAAGCTCATCAAGCTCGCCTGGAGACATCCGATAGATCCTACCCTTCAGAATACTAGACCCTGGGATAATCTCTATTGCGTGGACGACCTCCCTCTCAACAACCCCTGTTGGCTCTTGAAATAGATCAGGGTACTTAGCAACTACTCCCTCTATCTTTGGCGGCATTTTCACCTGCTCGCCTGCAGCAGAGACATAAACTAAATACATACCCTCCTCCTGATTTTGCTTATAATAATTCTAGAACGCGGCCACACACATGCACCCATAGGACTCAATCAGACTACTAGCTTTGAACTTATGTAATCTGGCGGTTCCTCCACCTGGCAAAGTGTGTTTGACCACTTTTCGGTCCTAGTCAAACTGGGGCTGTGCCACAGAGGGGTAGTACATACCTAGTAGCATATCCATTGGGAGCTTGTCACTTACTAGGAATGAGACACGATGTCTCAAGTCCCCTCCCGCGTACGGGAAACAACACTCAACATCCTGGAGGTAGTCATTGACTACCTTGCGCTGTTTGTTGGCACAGGTCGACTCCACAGGTCGACTCAGGCGTTGCACTCGCCCCTGTAAACGCAGCCTCTCAACGCACGCGCGACTGATAAAGTTCCTAGTCGAGCAAGTGTCATAATAGGCCCTGGCCTTGTGGCCGCCAATGACTACCTCGCTGACAAACATCTCACCCTTCGAGGCTTTGACTAGTGCCGTCCAAGAAGGTAGTGGGTCTGATCTAGACCACTCCACCTCTAGCTCCTCTAAGGACTCGAACACATTCATCGAACAGAGGCTCGATGGGTCTGAATGTGCTTGCGGGACGACGCTGGAGTCAGTAACTTAGGCCATCTCTCGAGATGGTGAGGGTGTCTCCACCACCTCGACCCTAGCAGGAACAACTACCATTCCTACAGGCCCGACGTGTCTCCCGGAGCACTGCCTGAAGTGCTGGCAACGTTGCTACCAACGGGATGAGAGGATCCCAGGACCTGCCCCATCGTAGGCAGGATCTTTTCTGTCACCTTCTTATTGCGGCAGTTGAATTGGTTGTGGCCATATTGACCACAACGAATACAGGCTTGCCGTGAGTAACGGTCTCTCCACACGTCCTCTGTAAGACCCGCTTTCTCCCATGGGGGAGCGTTGGGGTCGACTTGACTCCTAGACCGGGAGCCTCCACGGCGTCTACCGGTCGCCTTTCCTTTTTGAGATGCGACAACGAATACTTCATCCTCTGAAGCGTCTACACTGCCTGCCTCTGAACCTACTCCCTCCTGGAAGTTGCCGTCCAACTCGATGGTTGAACCATCGTTGTCGACAAACATCAAGCGACTTTTCGCTTTCCAGTTAGGAGGCAGTGTCTTCTTCCTCCCATCCTCTGAAGCGTCTTTAGCTTCAAGGTCTAGGGCCACCTTGCTGAACGAAGGAAAGTTGTGGTTATTGATATTGACCTCTTTTGCCAACTGGTTCCTGAGAGGCTGAGAAAAGGATCTCAAGTACGAAGTCAGCAGGACCTGGGGGTCATAGCGCACCCCTGGGACACAGATCAGACGCTCAGCAGCTTCCGTGGCTTCCCTTACTAACTTAAACTGCCTCGTGTGCAGTGTCAGGATCGCATCAGTGACCTTTTGAGCCTCCTGAGGATCATGCCACCTCTCCTCCACCATCTTCAGGAAGTCATCCAGTTTTTGGGTGGCTGCCAAGCGCGGAAGTCATGACCATATCCTTGGAGCTGCACTAAACCGCTCAACCATCTTGCTGCACTACCCTCTAGGTAAGATGCAGCCACAAGCACTTCTTCGTGCGGCAAGGTAAGTTTGCACCTAACATAGACTGGCACTGACCTCAACCATGTGTCGAGGTCTTCGCCTCTCTTGTCCCCTGTAAAAGGTTTGGGAGCGGCGATGGCCGTCTTTGGAACCCACTGAGTTTGTCCCGGTCCGTGCACCACTCCGGGCTGTGGACCTGGTGACACAGTTTGTTATGCTAGCTGTTGGGGCTCCGTGCCCTGAGGCTGCACAGTCTGCGAGACAGCAGGCTGCGTGGTGACTGCAACCTGCGACGGAGTTTGGGTGTACACTGTCTGTACAGAAACCTGCAAACTACTCCCTGCTGTTACCCCTCCTGACAGCGCCATGCCCAGGGAAACGATAGCAACCGATGACGGGGCTACATATGGGGATACCTCTGTCACTGGTGGGACAGAAAAAGGAGGATATGGCACGGACCAGGCACCGCGCCCGACTGGTGATGGCTACGAATCCCCTGCGGCGACGGACACGCGCGGCCAAGTCCGCGGCCGCGGACGAGGCCGCGAGCCCTCGGACGCGTCCGCGCGGCTTTGGCGCCATGTGGCGGTCAGAGGGGAGGGGGTTTCGGGATTCGGGAAACACCATTTGGCGGCGCATCCCCGGCTCCACCCCCCCACAAAAAAAAAATTGGAAAAACAACATCTTTTGGTTGGGGGGGTTGGGCTGCCGACGAGAA